CTAGTAATAACAGAAACAACTCCTAGTCATCAACTAGCGGTAGCTGGTAGCTGTAAATGAATCATGATAGCACCAAACGAATCAACGTTCCTAACTTTGATTTTTAGGCATTATACTTCTAGAACAAAATGACAAATAACAGCAGATATATGTTTATGTTTTACATCTGTTTTTATTTGTAGCTAATCCAAATTATTGAATTGTTCATATGGAAAACTGTCGAAAACAAATTAAAAAATATAATATTTAGCTTTAGTTTAATTAGCGAAATTTAGCTTCAAAGAGAGATTTTCGTGATTATTGAGTAAATATGACTCGCAATTATAAATATTATATTATTTTTAAATGTATATATATTTTAATTTCTTGATGTAAACTCAAAGTGAAATATTTCAACTTGTCTCGTCTGTCTGTTTTGAATGTTTCAGGTCTAAGAAACGCTCCTCGCTGTTGGTCCGTCATTCAGCCACTGCTGTGTGCTGTCTACATGCCCAAATGTGAGAATGGTCAGGTGGAGCTGCCCAGCAAGAGCCTGTGTATGGCCACACGTCGGCCGTGCAGCATCGTGGACCGGGAGAGAGGCTGGCCCAACTTCCTCAGATGTGACGAATTTCCTGTTGGATGTTCGGTACGTTTGAGATCATGCGTCAAGAGTAATTAAAAAATGACAACTGAAATCCATCGTATGTTTAACATAAACTACAATTACTGCCATACTGATGATAATCATGTGATAATTATGTGTTTGAGATTTCAGCCTCTTGAGCGATTGAGTCCGACAGTCCAGGTCTAGAGTCACTGACCCCTGTTGGTTTCCTTTTGCAGAATGAAGTGCAGAAGCTGAAGTTTAACACTTCAGGTCAGTGTGAAGCTCCGCTGGTGAAGACGGACATTCAGTCCAGTTGGTACAAAGACGTGGAAGGCTGCGGTATCCAGTGTGACAACCCTCTCTTTACTGAGTCGGAGCACAACGACATGCACATCTACATCGCGTACTTTGGCACCATCACACTCCTCTGCACCTTCTTCACCCTGGTAAAAATAACTTCTACACCTGGAACTTTTCTGTGTTGACCTTGAGGATGAACTTGTTTAAAAATACAATCTATTTTTCCTCATTTTCTTCATCTGTAGGCCACATTCCTCGCAGACTGGAAGAATTCCAACCGGTATCCCGCTGTCATTCTCTTCTACATCAATGCCTGCTTCTTTGTGGGCAGCATTGGCTGGCTGGCCCAGTTCCTGGATGGTGCCCGCAAAGAGATCGTGTGCAAGAGTGACAACACAATGCGTCTCGGGGAGCCATCGTAAGCACATATCCCATACCGACCAATCAGATCTCTGAACAGAACAGCATCAGTTTCCAACAAAACAGGCTGCTCTCTTCTCCCCAGATCTTCAGAGACGCTGTCGTGCGTCACCATCTTCATCATCGTCTACTACTCCATGATGTCAGGTGTGATTTGGTTTGTGATGCTCACCTACGCCTGGCACACGTCCTTTAAAGCCCTGGGCACCACCCACCAGCCGCTGTCCGGCAAAACCTCCTATTTCCACATGGTGACCTGGTCCATTCCCTTCATCCTCACTGTGGCCATTCTGGCTATCGCTGAGGTGCAGACATCTCATTATTTACTTTCATATCATATCACAGATGTGTCTGGTTTAAGAACCATCCAACTGTGCTGATCTTAATGTGTGCACAGTACTGAACAGAGGGAGTATTTGTAAACAGTCTGACGTCTTTGGCGTGTTTCACAGGTGGATGGAGACTCAGTGAGTGGCATTTGTTTCGTGGGCTACAAAAACTACAAATACAGGGCCGGCTTCGTCCTGGCCCCCATTGGTGTTGTGCTGGTCGTTGGTGGTTACTTCTTGATCCGAGGTGAGCAGCAGCATTTGTCTGTAATGTTATCAATCAAGTTTATATTTTTTTTTATAATGTTTTGTATACATTGTGAATGAATTGATGTTGTGGTTTATTCCTCGGTTTAGGGGTCATGACCTTGTTTTCCATCAAGAGTAACCACCCAGGTCTACTGAGTGAGAAAGCAGCCAGCAAAATCAATGAGACCATGCTGCGACTCGGTGGGTTTTATTAGCTTTATACAATTTTTTCTATGGATGGCCGATAATATCGGCCAACTGATATTAACATATTATGTAATATCTCTAAGAATCATAATCGCGTTTCCTCCGATAATGAAAACAGTTTTTGGGATAAATGGCTCTATATTAAGGTGAAAATCACTAGATGGCAGCATTGCAGCTCTTTTGATTGGTTCACTCATACAGTGGTTTGTACAGATAGATGTACATTATACAGTGTTTCTATGTTGGTCAAGTATTGACTTAGTCACTGCACCAGAACTGTTTTGCTGTACAGGAAACTGATGATGCTCGATGAAACTCGTCTAACCTTGAGGCGCACAAAGATATTGGTCTCATACAGTGGTTTGTACAGATAAATGTTGGTGACCCCTGATGTACATTATACAGTGTTTATTGCTAAAGTCTTATAATATCATCTCATATCTAATTTGTCATGTCTTTTACAGGTATTTTTGGGTTTCTGGCTTTCGGATTTGTCTTCATCACTTTTGGCTGCCACTTCTACGACTTCTTCAGCCAGGCTGAGTGGGAGCGGAGCTTCAGAGAATATGTGCTGTAGGTATTTCTTTAACATAATTTTCTGTTAAATCACTGCTCCAGAGAGCCACGCAGAGAAATCCACAAACTGGTTCTGTGGCCCGTCTGAACCACACCTCCAACCGATGTGCTACAGCCGTGAATGCAGCCCTGTTCCCCCCACAGTGTTGACACTGGCGGGATTGGAATTAATTTCCCCTCAAACATTTGACCCACCCTTCCATGCTGACACACAGACCCACCAGTCCTCCTCCACCAGAGGGTGGGGGAGGCACGTGCAGTATGGGGGAGAATGCTGACTGACGGGTAATGCGTTTACAACAGGTGTGAAGCCAACGTGACAATTGCATCACAGACCAACAAGCCCATCCCGGAATGCACCATCAAAAACCGTCCCAGCCTCTTGGTGGAAAAAATTAACCTGTTCTCCATGTTTGGCACCGGAATCGCTATGAGCACCTGGGTCTGGACCAAAGCCACTATCCTCATCTGGAAACGCACCTGGTGCAGGTGAACAGGCGGAGATGGCCTTTTTTTTTTTTGTCTTCCCAAATGAATACGACCATCATTAAATTATATAAAATCCTCTCTCTGTTCCATATATGGTTATAAATAGGGGTGGAAATTGCATGGTATGAAGAAATTATTATAAAATTCTTATGAAAAAACTATTGGTCAGGATACCAACATGACTTCTCACCACCTGATTTGCTTAACCAATTGGAAATGTTTTATTTGTAAATCGACTATGTATTTTTCTAAATCAATTTAGAAAGTTTGTTCAAGACATAATTGTGATCCAATGAAGAAGAAACCAGTAATGATAAAATATTGACTGTAAAACATGTTGCTATTGCTAACCTTCGTCCTACTTTTTAATTGCCTCAGTTACGAGGTTGCTGACTTTGCTTTTTAGCTAAAGAAGAAGGAAATTGAGTTCTTCTAGTGGGTTTATCCTGGTCCAAAGACAGCCTTCAACTCTGTTTGTTTTATAGGATTATTGGCCGGAGCGACGACGAGCCCAAAAGGATCAAGAAGAGCAAGATGATCGCCAAGGCATTCGCAATGAGGAAAGAGCTCCACAAGGACCCTGAAAAGGAGCTGTCATTCAGCATGCACACTGTGTCACATGAAGGTCCAGTGGGTGAGTGTCAGAGTGGGTTTTTCTTTGTCATTTACAGAAATGTCTTTTTCATATTTTCAGCTATTCAAATAATCGATTAATCAAATTGATTATCGATTACAAAAATAATAATAAAAAGTTATATCATTTGGAAAGGTTTGGGCTGTATTAAAAAGGTGAACGGGCAGCACCCCGGGCCTTAGTTTGCCTGATCTAAACCTTTTTGTGATTTCAGTATCAATGTTAGCTCAACCAGGTGAGAGCAGTTCGAATCTGCACAGTTGTCCATGTTTTTAAATGTCAACTGTGTGCTTTTTTTGGCGTTTACAGCTGGAATTAATTTTGATTTGAATGAACCGTCCAATGACATGTCATCAGCCTGGGCACAACATGTGACTAAGATGGTGGCGCGACGAGGTGCCATCTTGCCCCAGGACATTTCTGTTACACCTACCGGTACACCAGGTGAGAGATGGTGGTCCAAACTCTGAGATTATAACTACTGGAGGACATTCAAAACTGTTCCTTCATCCATTTGTTATCTTTATGCTCTGTAGTGCCACCTCCTGAGGAGAGGAATCGACTCTGGATGGTGGAGGCTGAGATTTCACCGGAGATGATAAAGAGGAAGAAGAAGAAAAAGAAGAGGAAAAAGGAAGTGCGTCCTCTGAACGAGGCGGTCGACCATCAGGCGTATGCTCAGCGGGAGTTTGGCCGCAGCTCGGTGCCTCGTCTGCCCAAACTGCCCTGCCACCCCAGCCTGGTCGCTAACCTACAGGAGCAGCAGATGCAGGAAGAGGAAGTTCTGCCAGGATCGTACTCGGAGTTTCAAACCTCACACCCTCTGTCCTTTGAGGAGAGATGCCCATACCCGCTGTACCAGGGCAGCCGGAGCAACTACGGCCGCAATCTGCCGTCTCATCGTTTGGCCCTCAGTGATCGTCCAGAGGATCTGGGTCTCGGCCCGCGCTGTCCTCCTTCAACTTCCACCTGGCACCCCACTGGATCCTCCTACTACCCCCAGGAGGTGGATGTTACAGGGAGGTTGGTGAATGTGGCCCGAATGCCAGCAGGCAGGAGGACTGGAAATGGTCCGATCCACTCCAGGACCAATTTGATGGAGGCAGAGCTTATGGACGCAGACTCCGATTTTTAAGAGTGCAGGATGTCTTGGTTGTGTCACACAGACAGTAAGCTATCATAAAAGTGCTGGATACTTTCAGAGTTCTTACTGAAGTGCACCTCAATGTCCAGAGGTCAACACAGAACAGAACAGAGTTTTAAAATGTGTTCATCTGATTTACATAGTGTCATATATTTCACGAATGGAAGAGGAACGCAATATTATGTATATAAGAAAAAGAAACAATGACTTTTGCTCCTTTTGTTTTTGTCATGAAAGGTAAGAAAAAGAGGCAGCTAAACTGTTTATGGCTTGAAACAATTTGTTTTTAAAGAAAATCCTATGGTTTCAGGTTAGCATACAACAACATGAAATATAAAATACACCAATTTAACTTGATCAGCGACTTCGGTGTTAGATTTAAAAACTGTTTTTGTAATTGTTCAAAAATGTGTAGGAGTTAATGGAAGTGTGTACGAAGTTCAATAAAGAGCAAGTAGCTCTCTGGCCTCTAGAGGGTGATAGAAAACATATTTTAAATACTTGGTCCATGATTTGAACGTTCTGGCGCAACGTTTTTGTTGTTAGGCAACCCAGCACTGTTACTCGGTCAAAATGTTTTTGTAAAACAAGCACACTGGGACTGAAGGTAAAAGCCAGGAAGAACAACACTTTCACACCAGCAAATTAATAGAAACATTGCAACCACGTATTATGCAAATGTTAGCTTAGCTAACTAGCTTGTTTTCCGTTGCCTGGTGCAATGGACTTCCTTTAGATGCAGTTGTTGTTTGAATTAAATGATTTTTTTCATTACAAATGTACGGAAAAATAATTAAATGATTTTTTTCATTACAAATGTTATACGGAAAAATTCTTATTTTTCAACTGTTGTATATATTCACCTTGTCATTTTCTTCTATTTACTTTATATTTTCAAAGTCTGAAACAAAAAGTTCCTTTATTTTTACATTGTTTAAGCTAAAAATGTTGTGTACTGTACAGTAAAATATGTTTTTTCAGTAGTCGTCGTTTGTGTACGAATCTATACCACATCATTTGATGCATTGCCATGATGTTCACAGAGAAAGGACATTTACACAGTTAGAAATAGTTCATTATTCTAAATAAATTAAATACAATTTGAGCCCATATTTTTTCAAGCATTAAAGTATCATTATGAAATGCTAAATATGCTAGAAATATACAGTAAGAGTTACTTTTCATTCAGTTAATTAAGTTCTTATTCTGGAGTCATTTGTAATAGTTTTCCTCTGGTGTAAAACCCGTCAATTTTAATGTATAAAGGTTTTGTTGTTTGTTTGTTTTTTTGTAAATAAAAGTAGCCTTTTAATTTGTGTCTTTTTTGTTCTGGTGATATGTCGTTTCCTTGTTTTTATTTACTTATAAACAAAAAGTGTTCCTCGGTTATTTGAAGGGACCTCCTGGGGTTGATTTGAACTTTAATATGCATTTAGTATTCATTTCAACGTTTCAACGTTCGTTTGTTTTTGTTTTGTTTTGTTTATGTCGGATTGGTGTTTTGTGGACACTTGATATTTACCTTCCTGCGCCTTAAGAGGGCGATAATCAGCAGTGTTAATCGACCGGCGGCTGCAGTTTATAAAGAGACGATGAAGGCTGGGGACATTCATACGGGACCGACGGTTTAAAGAGAAGCGTGGTGGTGTGAACGGAGACCATGTCGGACAGAAAGTCGCTGTTAAAGCAAGCTGAGGGGGAGAACGTGCGGAGAAGATCTGCTGCTGATTCCTCAGGTGAGAGTGAGAGAAACACCTGAAGCTCTTTAATCCACCAGCTGCCGTTACTGCAGACTGTTAGTAAGAGAAAGATCCAGAAAAGTCACTTGTGCCTCCAAGAAACTATGATGAATGTTTAAAAAAAGGTCCAAGGTGAGTGTTGTTTATGGAGGCACAAACATTGATTTTTATTTTATTTATTTATTTATTTGTCACAGTGGAGTTTATCTTTTTTCAATTCAGTATTCTCTCGTTAGAAAGACGACTTGAACCAAACAGATGGGCTGACTTTTTATTGGAGTTTATCTTTTTTCAATTCAGTATTTTCTCGTTAGAAAGACGACTTGAACCAAACAGATGGGCTGACTTTTTATTTACTTTGGCTAGTTTATAGAAGATGCTACCAAATCGCTTTACCTCTGTTTTTATAAATGACCATTTATGCACATGTTGCACGATTATGTATTTAATTTGTGTTACTTGTCTCACAGTTTAACACAACACAGGCCCTTTTCAATTAACTACCAATTAATTTCAAGCAGAGACTTTGAATTAAAAAAAAATTCAAGTCTGTAGTTTTGCAGCACCAAATTTGTGATGACTGAACATTTCTAAAACCGTGTGTAAAGTCATGCCCAGTATATGGACGTTTGTCCACCAAAATTCTTCAAGATAAGACATTTCAATGGGTTTTGCACCTTAGCCCTCTGCTAATACTTGACTCTGGGGTTTTTCTGACGATCACTGCTACTACACAGTCTGACTGGATATAATGGACACTAGTTTTCTTTGTTGTTGATTCTTTTACATTTTCAACTCTCATGACCAGTGATTATAAGCTTCTATTTTTGGTTGTGGAGCACAGCACACTTGGCAAAATTTAGTTTTTAATACCCGTAGACAGCAATGCATCGCTAACAGAATCAGTCTTGGAGCGTAGCAGTAAAAAAAAGTGTAGGGGACATTCTGCATGACTCTCAGGAGGTTTTTGTTAGTCACACATTATGGCATGGCCCATGGATCTTCAGACTCTGACCTGACCAAAGCTGTGTAACAACTTTAGAAACGCCTTCATTGATTATTTATTCTTATTCTTCATCAGAAAACTACATTGATCCTGAACTGCATCGCCATGGTCACCAGCGACATCCTCAGACTGATAGGCTCTGCGTTGGCCCCCATCATCCCGAGCTTGGAACCATTACAACACCTTCACCGGAACCTTCTTCCTCTCACTTCTGCCACTACTCTCCAAAATGTTTCCTGGCTGTCCACAAAGGTGAGTGATGAAGTAGGTGAGCGATGACAGAGGTAGACCTAGTAAAAATATTCATTTGTTTAATGGGGAATTCCTAATTAAACAGCAGCTGGACACGGTACTTCAGCCAGGTCTACTCCGTCCCAGTACGCAGAGGAAGGTTGGCACGAGGCCACCACCAAGACCACAATCAGAGCTGAGAATGAGGTGGAGGCACACAGGGAGGCCAACAACTACAAGGTCAGTAATGGCTGAGCAATATCACTTTAAAAAAAAAAAAACAAAGCTGTTGATTTTAGCCTTGCACCTATACTTTACTCTAAACCTCCTTTCCTGTAATGTGTCATTCTTAGGCTTATTTTGACTTAACCTTAATTTAACTAGTGTATATGATTCATTTTATTTATTTTTTGGGTTAATTGACAGCATCTTGTTCATGTTCTTACTAACCTTTATGTAAAATTCTACCTGTTTTGGGTTCATATTTAGACATGTGTTTCTATATACAGTATTTCTGTCTTTAAGCTACTTTCTGGCTGTATTTGGACAACTTTGTTTAGCGCCAAGTTTAGGTTTATTTGCACCAGTTTTTGCCTTCTGTATCACAACATTTATGTATATATAGCCATTAATAACAAACCAATGGTGTGAAAAGAAATAATAGTAGGGCCAAGTATGAACTCCTGTGGCAAACAGAAGCTTCACTACAAGGAAGCTTCTGTTTGTGATTTGTCCTTGACAAACCTGTAAACAGTCTTTAAGGGGTTAAAGGTCAAACTTTTACTGTCTCTGTCATGAGAACCTGACAGCAAATTTTAGATATGCTAAGTGCTGATTTCCAAGACCCTGACATTCACAGTTCACTACGTGGTGTGAATAATTTGTATTGTCTTTTATGGTTCCACAGTTTGGCTTTAGAAAGTGGAAAGGCAATGTAACAGAGCGGCCCATTGAAGAAAGATCAGATATCGCTAAAGAGTTGTACGCTGATCTTAGTGTCGTTAAACCTCGACAAGGTATTTCTGCTCCGTTTTTTTTCTAATTCATGTCTCTTTGAGTGAACATCAGTACCGATAGTCGGCTGTGGTTGCTGAATTAATGGCGGTCTTCTCCTGTCTTTCAGGTTCAGTGGTGTCCTTTGGAAATATAGTTTATGTGATTTTATTCGGGTGGTGGATCTCTTTAATCTACATCCTTGTGTGTCCTTTACTGTATTTAACATACATTTGTGCTCCTTATGGTAGGTGTTCTGCATTTGTCTACTTTATTCATAGTTGTCATTTTTTTTGAACATCATTGGATTTTTTTTTTTTACTATTTTGCTCATTTTAGGCAAACTTTGTCTAAAATTGGCCTGGTACTTTATTTGGCCGTTTGGGAAGTCAGTAGAGAAGGTAAATATTCAAATCTGTCAGTTGAAGTTGTTGTTGTTGGGTTTTTTTTTTTAAACAACCAATAATGTGATGATTTTAGGCCAGTGACAAAATGAAGGGCCCAACTGTGATACCATCAAGGTCGGAGGGCGTTGTTGAAGACAGGGACAATGATGACAGCAGGGTCCATGTACGGGACAATGGCACGACACCACTGCTGGTGTCTTCACCGGTCACTGTGGAATTCCCTGTCCCACAACTACAGGTCAAAACAACTTCAAAGCACTGGGTGAGAGAACAAGGACAGCCTTGATATTTAACAAGGTATTTAGAAACGACAGACGTTGCCCCCTAGTGAGGTTTTATGGTATTGCAAAGCCCTGGCCAACATGGGGAACCAAACAGGATGATCACAATTCTTGAAAGTTAATAAAGCACATACAGAAAGACTGTCTCAGTGATAGAATAATAAAACCTTCTTTTTGTCCCCCTCTGCAGTGTCGAGTCAGCACCTATATTTGGTTGATACTGTGTTACCCGGTGCTGGCTGTGGTCCACTCTCTGGCCTCTGTGTTGTCCTGGATCCTTATCTTCACCATCCCTGTTTCCAAGATGAATGCTCGCACACTGGCGACTGTCCTACTCATGGCACCGGAGGACGTCCAAATACGTAAACTAGAAAAGGTAGTTTTCCATCATTAAGACGCAGACGAAAATGGTCCGAAAGATTTAGAAATACGTAAACTAGAAAAGGTAGTTTTTTTCCATCATTAAGACGCAGGCGAAAATGGTCTGAAAAATGTACGTAGGTTATCGTACACATTTGAATCCCAGGATCCTTATCTTCTGTGCTCTTTTCCAGACGATTGAAGGTGAAGTCAGAGTCATCCTCTGCTGTTATCAAGCTGCCAATGTGCATTACATCAAGTACACCGTTCAGGGAATCAACATTTTTGCTCTCAGTATCCTTTTCAGTGAGCTCAGCTGCTCCTGCCTTTGGCTCTGTTGTTACCATCCGTCTGCTTGTTCTCCTTAAGACGTCCGTTTCCCCGCAGACTCGCTTCCTCTGGTATTTGTCACCTTGATTATTGGCTACACTGACCGCACATCTGCTTATTTTAGCTCAGAGGTCAAGTTTGCCACTGCCATTGCCTCCATCATCCCTCTGTCTTACTATATCGGCATGGGAATAGCCAGGTAAAACTAGGGAAAATGATTTGATCCCTACAGAAGGCTAACCTCTGCCGCGCCGCTCCCGTTTTATCACGTTACATTCATCTCCTGCAGCATTTCCGCACAGAGCAATTTTGCGGTGGGAGCAGTGGTGAACGCGACTTTTGGCTCCATCACTGAGATCACGTTTTACATCACAGCACTTCTACAGGGGTACAACGCTGCCAGCAAGTGTTATGAGGATATTGTAAAGGCAGCCCTCACTGGAACCTTGCTTGGATGCATTCTCTTTATACCTGTGAGTGACCTAAAAGGACTGAAAGTCAGCCAATACAGGGCAATATACATCACTATGTTGTGTTGTTATCCATTTGTCTCCAAGGCCCAGATTGTATGACCAGATGTTTGTGGCTGTTGTTCCAATGTGTACAGGGTATCTGCATGATCATTGGGGGCATCAAACACCGGGAGCAGAGGTTCAACAGTCGTTCTGCAGGAGTCAGCTCTGCTTTGCTCTTTATTTCCGTTGGAGGTGTGTACGAAAGACACGCGCAAACACACTCACACACCCACTGCCTTTGGGTACACTCCAGATAAGACCCTCACTGCTGTCACGTCTCTCCGTAGGTGTGTTTGCTCCCACTCTGTTCTCAAAAACGTTCGGTAATCTGGTGTGTGAAAGCTGCACCAGCATTCCAAGTAATACCAGCGTTCCCTTCGCCTGCAAGGACTGTCATTATGACATGGTGAGCTTTTGTGGAACCTCCCAGGGGTCTCAACCTGTGGCTTCCTGCAGGCCAAATCTGGCCTGATTATAATACTTACATCAGACAAGTAGATCTCATAGAGGAAGGGGCTGTAATTTTTATTTTAAGAAAATAATTGTTTAACTAATTTTACATCACAGCAAGTCTGTCATGTTTAATATATAAATGTGAAATTATTGTTTTTCTTCTATATAAATCAGTAGTATTACTATAGTACTGAAAACATTATACCCTTAACAATTACCATGGTTTAAATTGGCAAAATATTTTTAAAGCTCATGTAAACTTTTAGTCCAGTGGTTCTCAAACTGTGGTATGTGTACCACCATTGGTACGTGGGGAAAATTCATATTTTCAGATTTACATTTTCAATTATAAATAACAAATCTGAAACATACAATGCACAATTAATCCAACATTTAAACATAAACATATTTATAAACATCTCTCCTGTGGTGGAAGCTAACAGTGAAGGCCTCTGCTGCTGTATTCTAATGTTGGTCATCATGGTGGAACTCAGAGATCAAGGTTTTCTCAGGTGGTACAGAGGATAAAATAATTTTGAGATTTTGATATGACTTCATTAATTACATAGAAAATGAATAACTGTTATAAAATCTTATTTAATTTGTCTTTTTTTGTTGCTTGACAGAGTGCAGGTGACCCACATTTGATTCTCACCCATATTGAGTAAGAATCCTCTTCTTTTTATTTTCTAACATCCATGTGTTTGTGACTTGTGTATTAATTTGGAGACATACCTTTGACCCAGGCCCCTGGTGTACACTATCTCTGTGCTGCTGCCTGCTGCCTACCTGATTGGGCTCATTTTCACCCTGAAGACCCACTCCCACATCTACGACATCCACATCAGCGACGGCCACGGCGGCCATGCACATGGTCAGTACACAAAGGAGGATTTTCTCAGCCACCAACCCATTGGTGTGGTCACTGGTGGGCTTCTGTATGCTGCCAACTCCCGTATAAATGACAGCAGTCCGGTCACAACAGCAGGTGTGTGTGTGTGTGTGTGTGCGCGCACATAGGGCTTTTTTGTTTTGTTTTTCTTTTAAAGAAAATCAATACTAACTGCCTGCTGCCTGTTTTTAACTCACTCCTGTATGTGAAAGACACCAGAAGATTAATTTAGAGTTGTGCATGTCTACAGTAGAAAGCATGTAAGTGTGAAGTATCAGGACACAGTCTGCACGTTGCATGGATATATTTGAACAGCGAAAGGTGAGTCACCAACATTGAAAGTATTTGTAAGGGAAATTCATAGTATTTTGTTTTTCGCCGTCCTCAGGAGGTCATCACGTGGTGCACTGGTCACGGTGGAGAGCTCTGGGAGTGCTGATCGTAGCCACAATACTGATGGCCTGCTGCGCTGATCTCAGCACCGAGAACATTGAACCCATTCTGAACCATTCCTCTGTTTCCCAGGTAATAAATGAGTTAACAAAATATGTGGGGTCAACGATTCTACATATGGCTGCTTAGGTATTTACAAGAGTTTTGAATGTTTTATTTCAATGTTAAGACATCAATTGGTAATTGTTTACTCATTTCTGGTTGGTGTTTAACTTCCAACTTTTCATTTAGCCTTACGCAATAGTTAAGCAATAGCTATTTTTGTATTTATTTATATTTTTGATTAGGCTGGTTTTTGGCTAATGTCTGCCTAACAAACATTAGTAACATTAACCTATTGCTGTCTATGTATGTTTATGTCTGACTTCATAGCGCCTCTTATGTGCGAGCCTGTGAGTTGCAACCATATTTAATGGCGCCTCCTGTGGCAGCCTGTGTGGTTTGCCAAGAAAACTTTCACAAAATGTTTAATTGCTACTTTTTTAAGCAACTGTATGAACCATGACTATATGAACTTGATTTCCACATGTACAATATGTGACAGTATATTAAGAGTACTACAGCAATGGCTTACGACAATTGCACGTGCCTGTGTATTTCACCTTTCGTTGAGGTTTACTGTTCTCATCTGCAGTACTTCATCGGTGTCACACTGTTGGCCATGGTGCCAGAAATCCCTGAAATTGTGAATGGAATCCAGTTTGCTCTGCAGAACAACATCAGCCTGAGGTTTGACTGATCTCTTCTGTGTATGAGTGGTTATTTATTATGGATTATTGTGTAGAACACAGTTTTATGATGTGTTTTTTTTTCCCCACCCTGTGCAGCCTTGAGGTTGGTAGCTGCATTGCTGTTCAGGTCTGCATGATTCAGATCCCTCTGCTCATCCTCTTCAATGCGTTTTATGTGAGTTTATTTCCAATTTCAACACATTTGTTTAAATAATTCTTGATTAAAAATGTTTTCCCCCTTCTTTCAGGATGTGGGGTTTGTTCTTGTGTTCAGTGACATCCATCTCTGGGCCAGCATCTTCAGTGTCATTTTGGTCAATTATATTTTCATGGATGGAAAATGTGACTACTTTCAGGGTAAGTCATACTGAAGTAATTCCCCCGCTACTATAAATTGTGGACGTGAAATACCATATGGGCTCTGTTTTCACAGGCACTGCTCTTGTGGTGGTTTACTTCATCCTGTTGGCACTTTACTTCTTTGCTCCTCCTCCACACACTTGTTGACCTGCTTCCAGAAATACATCTACAAAATCCCATAATGTCAGCTTGTGTATATGTAACTGTATGGTCACTGTTTTTTTGGGGAAAAAAGTCTATTATCTTTGTTTGAAATTTAAAAATAAATAAATTTAAAAAATAAATAAATTGAAAATACAGATTAAAGTATATCATTGTTTGTTTGCTTTTTTGTAGTTCCTAAATGTCTGATAATGGTGAATGGGTTTAGTGTGGATACTAACCTCATTGATTGGTCAGTTTTTCATGTCAGGTATTATTGGCTACTTTTGGAGCTGTTTATTTGTAACAGCTGCCTTCATTTTGGAGGATTTCCAATGTAGTTTCATATAATATATACTAGAGCTCCCTGAGCTAGCTAACTTTATGATAGTTTGTGATAAGATTTTGCTTAAATAAATCCTATTCTTCTTTATTAGTCATTCCTTGAGGTGAAGCTATGGCAAAGTTAAGGGTTTCATAACTATTCTTTTGTTTGACTAACAATTCTTAAAGCGTTGCTATTTCTTAAACACTTTTATTGACAACTGCAACATGACAGTCACATAGGTTTACTGTACAACATTTAAATGGCCACATTTTCTCAAGTAAAGGATTGAAAATGAAACAGATGTTAAAAAAATAGATGACATCATGCAACAAGAAGTCCACTTGCAAATCATAAATTAAGAGGTAACGAAAAGGAAAAAAGTGCAGGCAAATTAATGTAAATCATCTGACAACATCCTTTCTGTACAAAGTGTCTCTATAACCTAAAAAGAAAATCAATATTATCTTATTGAAGAATATTGATATTTTCAAAGCACATTTATTTGGCATCATTGTTTTAACATAAAACCTTCAATCAATAGGTTTTGAATCAATTTCTACTCAACTTATCTGAGCATGAACATATTGTACAATCTTTAAAATTTTGAAAGGCACTGCAGTAAACACACGCCTATGATTAAAGTGACTCCCAGTGTGGAGATTAGTTAATCTATAGAGAGGAGTGAACATTTGTACAGAATAACATTGTCTTTATTTAAATAAAATCATCTTAAATACTTGTAAGAGCACCAAAATCACAGTGATGTCTTTGAATGGTTTGGTTTTTTTTTTACAAATGACAACTGCAAGCAAAAGTGATGAAAACTTAAACCTACCACCCTTCTGTATATATTTCTTACCAGATGAGTATTATATAGTTAAATGTGTAATGAAAAATAATAATCCTGCCAAATTAACAGTACTCTCCTCCACTTCTTAAGACTTAAACTTCTTCCTGTTCCCCTTTGTTAGAAAAATAGGTAAATGGCTACAAATTTGCAAGTCTGTTTGTGCAAAGTGTAGTTTTATGTGATGTAATTAATCCCCCCTCAAAAATATTTTTTTTCTTCAAATAAATAAACATGCAGTTCTCCTATGCACAATTGTTTTAAAAATGGTACTGAACAGAAGTCCTTTAGCAATTACTGATTGGCTGAGGCGGGTACATTGCCACAAAGGCAACACTTCAGGAACTTGACATCCCACTTCTTCATTTTGACAGACTGTGATGAAGAGAAGCAAAAGAAAAGGCACCCCATTGTTTTTGCTTTTAAGGTGGAGCTTCTTTTGGCTGCGGAGCAAGAGGGCAAAATCCAGAGAGTTTTGGTTGTGACTCACATGTTGTCGCTTCATCCAATCCAGCCAAGACAATCCGTGCCTGTTTGCCCTCCATCGTGCTACTCATTTCAAGCGATGTATTAATTCCTGTGTTAAGCCAAGGTTTAACAACTCCAAGTTGGGAAGTGAAGACATGTGAGGGAAAGCTTTGAGTAGTTTTTCCCAGCATAGCTCCAACAGACTGGGCACCACCAGCCAGATCTTAAAGAGAGAGCCAGTTCTTTTGTTTTCGTGAATGTCCACAACACCACCGTGAATGTACATGCAGCCAGCCTGTAGATGCAGGGAAGGACAGTTGAAAAGTACATGGTTTTTAATGGAGCATAGATTCAAAGTCAGTCACGTGACCAGTAAAGACAGTTCTGTACTCACTGGAGTGACAGCAGCACAGTGAAAGTAGGCCGGCTCAGGCATCACTGCTGGCAGTTTACTCCACTGGAAGGTCTGCAGGTTGAGCTTCCACAGATCAGCTAATATTACCTCTCCATTATAGCCTCCACATATAAATACATCTGCAAAAGACATTAATGATCCAACATCATTTATGATGATCTAAATGTACAGTTGTGATCTTAAAGATTCTCCCAAATCTAAAAAAGATGAATGATCACCATTTCTTATTTGCACACAGCTATGGCATCTCCTGGGAGCTGGGTGCCCTGGGTAAATTACAAACATATTAGTATCAATAGAGTCTGCAAAAAAAAAAAAAAAAAAAAAAGAGCTCATCAAGAGACACACCTGTTTTGCCATGAGGTTTAGTCGTAATCTCCTCCCAAGAATTAGTCTCTAGATTGTACGCATGCACCTATTGAGAATATAAAAACAGTCAGTTTAACTGGCACTAATCTTGTTATAATTTAGGTTACTTCTCAGTTATGTGGGCAGTTTATATGAAAACATTTGGTGACTCAGTTGTGCAAAGCTCAGTACCTTGTCCAGAGGATAAGATGTCCAAGATGTTCCACCTCCAAGAATGTAGATTCGTTGTCCATCATGTGCTATTTCATGCCTATACCTGAGGTAGACGACAATTAGTTCTGTGATTCTTCAGATAATATAAGCGTGGGTACATAAGAGTGCTAGTACAGCAGTATTACCTCTCCTCAGGCAGGTCATCCCTTGGATTGTTGGGCTTTAGGTGGATCCATTCCCTAGCGGTCAAGTCCAGTCTGTGCAAATCTGTGCTGTAAATATAGCCCGTTGTTCCTCCAAAAACATACAGGAAGCCATTTATAATGACCATTGCCTGAAAGAGTACAAATGTAAAGTCTCGGATGTTTGAGGGTTAAAAACTGAATTACACTATATGCTAAAAATTACTGACTGAAGCTACCTGTCCGTAGATTCTGCTCGGCTTCTTCCCACGACAGTTTAGAAGTGACCACCGCTTGTACTTCACGTTGCAAACGTGAACATCGTTGCCATTATTTTCACCAAAGGGGATTCCAGTGCCTCCAAACACAAGGAGGTTGTTTCCATGCAAAACAGCTAAACATAAACAAAAAAAACCCCGCATATTAATTATCTTGCATTCTTCCTTAATAAATATAAACGAATCTGAACTGACATTGGAAAAAATATAAATAATACATATATACTCTTTCACCTGACATAGATGCCAACTCTGTGGGCATGTAGCCTTCCGTCCGAATCTGCTGCCAGCAGCCTGTGGCAAAGTGGTATTTCCACAACTCCCTAAACAGTGGATAATCTTCATTGTCAGAGCCTCCTGACTCGTCATAGTCAGGGTTGTAACCTCCAAATACATACAAGTTGGTGTTGTCCGCAACACAGCGGTGCCCACTGCGGGCAGGGGGAGTGCGGTGTCCTGAAGATGGATCAAAATTTGAATTATAAAATGATACACTACGTTTGACGTACATAACACGCTTTAATGGAAAGTGTCTTTACCTCTAACTAAAGGAATTCATGTGTGCGTCTTCTTATTGTAATTATTATTCTACCCATTGTACAGTAGACACTGTAATTTTAGTTAGCGCGTGTTGCTACCTAGCTAAAAAATATATAAACAAAGTGGGATTCTGACTAGTGTTGCTAGCTTGCGTGCTGCTATTAGCGATGCCACCAGCGATTGTGGCGTTTAATTGCAGTTAAACAAGCAGTTCGCTTGGCATTGTCAGCAATCACAGCTGTGATGAGACTGTTTAAATACAACCACAGTCAATGAAAAACAAAACTACCCTGGCATGTGCAGGGTAGTTTTGTTGACCGACCTACTAAAGTCTCACCGTGCGGCGGCCTTCCACTCAGTCTCTCAAATTTGTTCAGCTGCTCTGGACAGCGAGCCCCGTCAGCGTTCCACATTGTTATGATCCAATCCCGGAGACAGTTACATTAAATAAAAATACCATCTGCTAAAATGTCGCTAAAAACCTCGCAAATCGTTTAACACTACAGTCGCTGTGATGCAACTCATTTAACAATCCCTCCGGCAGTCAGGCTTTCAGCCAATCAGAGGGCTCGATATTAGGAGCGTGCGTCATCATAAATGGGCGTGGAAACACCGGGCCGTCTCCAAAACAAGAGCTTAGGTTGTATTGCAGTTGCAAATGATCAATTAACTGTATAGACGCCAACAGCTACAGATCGATAAATCGATCGATAGATTTTCTAAGTCAAAAGCAAAGAACTTGAATAAACAAACGTAGTTAACAACAAATGATTCACGTATGTAATAATATATATATGTAGCCCTAAATGCATTTTTACACATTTTTCACACATATTTGTAAATGTGTAAAGATGTATTTAATGTAGATAAAATGTGCGAAAATGAATATAGAAGAAAGGAAGAAAACTGTTATACAAAGCGGAACCTCTTGTGTGTGGTTTTATTTTCTGGGGAACGTCAAAGACAAACATGGCGGCGCTCAGTGGCAGTCGTGGGGATCGACTTAGCGCATCTACTTTGTTAAAGTCTTCCCTGACTTCTCCGGAGAAAGTCCGTGAAATTCTCAATGAGGGATTGTCTTTGGGAGGCACCGGCGCCACCAGGTCAGTTGACCGAAAGAACCTGCAGCGCATGATCTGATTTAGATGCAGTATGACGTTAGCTTGTTAGCCTAACTTTAGCCTGGCAGCATTGCCTGCAACTTCACAGTCACTGTTTGCAGGCTGTGCAAAAGAAATATATTTTGATGCGTGTGCAATGTTCTAACCTTGAACGCGTAAAAGTTTGTATTTCTTTACTTTACCAAATCTGTTTTAAAAAGCTTTACTTAGATATGGTGAATGTTATATATTCGCCCCTATCCGGGGGTTTTACGTAACGGGAGTGGGGACAGGTAGTTCATAGTTATTTTTTAGTCCGTTTATAGGTGCTACCGAAAGCAATAGAGCCACATAAATCATTTCTAATATGTAATATTATACTCAGTTATAATTAAAATGTACCACTTGTTGTACCAAATGTTTGTTTTTTTCTCAAGATATTTTGGATGTAGGTTATGAAAGTTGTACGGTCTTTTAACGTTAATGTAGAGGATGCTTTTCCATTAAACATGCCATGTAAGTTACAGCTTAACCTGTCTATGCTACAGTATATGAGCCTAGCAAATGATTTGGGATTATATTGTCTACAGATTTGTCTCACGTCTTACATTTGTTTGGATTTCAGTGGGCGAGGAGATTTAAAGGTTCTGGAAGACACTGAAAGCAACACTGAAGCACCTTGTGATGCAACAAACAAAGAAGCTTTTTTCTCCAGGGTGGAATCTTATTCAATATCCTTTTTTTAAATATTTTTGAACTTTTTGTTTTCCTTTATTTTAACACAAACATTATGTTTTACTAGCCTATATACTGTGAAAAGACTCTTTAAGAAATTTTGCTTTTTGTTTTCCTTTATTTTAACACAACCATTATGTTTTGGTAGCCTATATACTGTGAAAATACTCTTTCAGAAATTTTGCAGAGTCTATTTTATTTTGTTGGTGTGTCCAGTATGTTTTTATATCGCTGAAATATTCCTTAGCAGAGCACTGTTTGAAATGGGCAGGCAAACCACACACGCTATCTCCCCTGATGTGCGCCAGATACGGCTGGATTAATGTGGGCTGTGATATGCTTAAATGCTCCAGCTGCCAAGCTTTTCTTTGTGCTTCACTACAGCCATCTCTGGACTATGAAAAATGTAAGTTTTGAAGGTTGCAAACAATGGCAACGCCATTACAAGGGCACGCATTATTTTAGCAAGGTCAGGCTAAATGTACAGGTCTGCCAGGAATGAAAAATCAAAGTTATAGACTCTTTCTTTTCTCAATAGATGAGTCCCGCATTGCAGAGATATCAAAGCAGCTTCAAACGCAGCATGAAAAATTTTGTCCTTGGCCCGATTTTCCCTGTCCAGGTAAGAATGATTCCACACTGTGTGTGTCATTTAAAATAGTTATGTACCACATAATAACAAAGAAGTGATTTTCTTTTCATTTCTGAATACTGATTTTTATTCCAGAGCGCCTCTGGCTGGTTCCAGACTGTGAACCATCAAACCTTCTCACTGCCTTCTTAGAACGCTTCCACAGTGCTTGTCTTCTTGCTCAGCAGTTGCCAGCCATGAAACCAGAGCAGCTAAAGTCTATGGTGAGGCAGGCCAGTAGTCTTGTCATAGATGGTAGAACATTGTAATTGCGTTACTTGTCTATTTTTATATTTTTATATTTTATATATATATATGTTTTTATATATATATAAGTTTATATATGAGATAATTAAACAGATGCTAATTATTTCAGAAATCTGTTTATTTTATTTAATTAAATGTCCAAATTTATCCTTTCAGTCTTTGACTGAAGAAGTTATCAGTGTGATACTGCAACTTGTCGAGGAAGAACAGAAAAGAAAGGGGGAAGCTTTATGCTCTGAACCTTTAGATGTGCAGGTGGCTGCATGCATTGTTTCTCTCTGCGGGTGGGCAGCGAGGTGAGTCAAAAGAACCAATTTTAAAAATGTACAGTGTATTCTTTTGCTATATAATTATTGATTTTGTAGTATGGTAAAAAAAAAACCTGCATAGTGTGTGTCGAAATGATGTCTTAGACATATACATTTGTTCTCAGTCCGGCTATGCAGGCGATGAATCTGCCTACCCTTACCTGCTCCTACTGCATGCGCAAAGTGGGCTTGTGGAACTTCCATCAGATGGAGGAGGCAGTTGGAGATAAAGATGCTCTTCCAAGCCCTGCAAGCCAGACTGTTCGGTCAACCAGTCCTCTTGTAGCAGCAGCAGCAGCAGCACAAGAGGGTCAAGGAGACCAGCCCACATCTGCCTCACTAATGCCTCCAACAACTCCATGTCGTATGAAGCTCAGGAGCCAGGACTCTACACGCTCTGAACAGGTTTGTCTGTATGATTAACTACAAAAGCTACTAAAGGCTTATCTTTTATTTTTTTATTTCATTTCTATAACATATATTGAAATTTACTTTATTGAGAACATGCTATAAAAAACAAAGGGTAAACAAAAAGGGAAACAAACCCAAAATGTTTTATTTAGAGATACATTGATTGCAAATTTTGACATATTTAGTCTTTCAAGCTAATGACACATTAGCCTCTCCTGGTCTCTGACATGGGATGCACAATAACTTATCAAATCCTGTTCTGTTGCATGTGTCAGGGTGAAGGAGCGTCCCCAGTAGCCTTGCGATCCCGAAGCAGAGACTCACCAAGCCCCATTGAAGAACAGTCAAGTCCTTTGTCCAGGGGAAAGAGACCTGCAACTCGCAGCAGAGCCCTAGGGGACAACATTGGGCCACCTAAACGACTGTGCCTCTCCTCTGTATGAGCCCACATCTGTGATTTCATTTTTTTAAACCAGTAATTGTATTAATTACTAAATTGTATACAAGACATCAGGAACTTTTACATAATGTTAAAGTATTTCTCTCTTATTTCAGGATGAGCCTTTACCCAAAAATGCATTTGACCCTCTTGCTCAGCATAGAGACTGGTGCCCATGGATTTCTGGGGGAAAGGAAAATGTGGATCCAGGAATAATTTCTTTTAAGGAAGGAACATCAGTGAATCAACAACAAGGTTGGAAGGCTGCTCTCGATCTCCTCATGCCCATGAAGGAATCCCCAGATACAGCAGAAAGCAGTCCAGCACAAGCAAGTCACATTTTTTTGTGGTTCATTTTTTAAAAATAAGGATTCATTTATCATCAAACCACCTTTTACATCTCATTGCTTTTTCCTCACAGGGCGCACGTGACAAGTCAAAGAGAGTATTTGCCATTTTTCGTCAGTGGCAGGTCTCCTGTTCACCGTCCCAGCAGAATAGTTCCAACGATCGTCGTCACTGAAGTAACACAATGACCTGTGGTTTTATTGCAGGAAGGTGTTAAGAGTACCACTGACCCCAGTGTCATACAAGTGTTAATATCACCATTTTGAGAACTCCATTTGATTTAACCTGTAGCCCTCTTGTTAATTGGTCTTTGAGTTTTAAGAAGATATATGATTCAAACCAGGCAAACTTCCTCTTATCCTCAGAGCAGTCAAGCAATAAAAAATGAAATGTGACAAACTGTTGGACCGTACATTTAATATGCTCAAAATATCATTACAAAAGCAATGTATTTGCTCCCTTATGAGACACTACAATATGTTTCACTTGGTAAGTTGTTAGGTCTCAAAGTCCTCTCAGTTTGTTCCACTACAGCTGATGTTTACTGACCAGTTATATAGAGGTTTATTTTGAGTAAAATACTCATGACTGTGACTAAAATAGTGAATCATCATTTTCCAAAACCCAACCATGTTGTTGTCGCTGTAGAAAAGAAAACAGCCAGCCTGGGGAAAATTTAATATGATAGACTGAAAACCTGAAAACGTAATACAGAGAAAACAGCCAGCCTGGGGAAAATTTAAGTCGTGTTTTTTTTAAACAATGTGGTTGTTTTAAAAAGCAGGACAGTGCAGACAGTAGTGGAGTACATGTCCTCATCCCAGCACCCTTTAACAACTACAGTGTCCTACAGTGAAATTGATTACACGTGTCCCTTATGACCATGTTTACAGTCCAGCTGTATCTGGAGTGTCGATCTTAAACACTTGAAATGTACTGCATGACATCTTAGTTATGTCTTGTGTGTTTTTGTGCGTGTGTATAAGTGGTCATCAAGAACTTGGACATAATCCTGTGGAATCCTTAGACAGACTACCTACCTACTAAGTCTGCTTTGATAGTGTTCTGATTAAACTATCTTGACCCTCTGCACAAGAGAGCTAACTGGCTCAACACTGGATAGGTAATGTTTACCTTCAACGTATAATGAGTCGTCTAAGGCCAGAAAGATTAACCTCAGATTATCCAAAACAATGTGACCTTTTTTGTCTTATTACCTTTTTGCCTTGACCTGGGGTATCTTTGTAAAGAACTTTTTTAAATGGACAATGCCTATTAGTCAGTGCAAAACCCTCGTTTTCTGTAGACAAGTAGAAGCAAGTGCCAATAACTTCAACTCTGTATTCAATTAGAGCCATCAGAACCTTTTTAACCTTTCTGTGACTTCTCACTTTTACGCATGTGCTTTTATCTTTTTGATTTTCCTTAAAATAAAACGACTGATTACATATTTTCATTTGTTTTCCTTCTGACTTGGAACACAGCTAAAGCATGTGTGGTGCTTTATTTCACATTTTGTGTATAAGTATTATCACAAAAGGGTTAGAAATGAGCAAATCATACACGGCTAAGGAGTAATAGTTTGAAGATTAAATTGGCTAAAATAGAGATAGTTTGAATGTATACTGAAGAAGTACAGTGGGTGTACTAAATGTAAATGTAAATGTGATACTCCTAGAAGAAAGGGAAACCATAAGAGTGTTGAGGGAAGACATGTAGGAGGTTAGTATAACAGTGGCTTCATATGTATTTTCTTTCCTGGGCCTTTTTGGTTGCCCAAATCCTTAATTTGTGTCTGGGCCATCTTTTGCCATGTGAATTGAATATTATTACTATTTTCATAGTTGTTACTGGGGCTTTTTCTCATCACTGCCACCCAATGATTCTACATTTTGTTAACTGTCGCAGATTTTTTCAGCATTCCAATCTTACCTTGTCCTTTGATTTCTGTCCTTTAAAGTGTATAAAATAAAAAGGAATTACATTATGAGGCAGAACTTTTATTCGTGTACCTAGTAAAAAAAACTAGGGCACAAGAAAGGACAAACGAAGATAGATTAGATGGAAGGAAAAATGTACAAATGGTGCAATATACAAAGACAACACAGTTACATAGTAATACCAAACGATAGGTATAATTTTGACTAAATAAACTACACGGGGTTGCCATTTGTGGTGACGTTTCGTCGCATTGTTTTGACGTCGCACGCGGAGGGATCCTAGCTTGTCACAAGCACAGTCAGAACGCTGAGAGCCTTTGAGCTGTATAGACCTAACCTTAACTCAGCCACTCACTCACCAGGACAGGGAGACACTCAACTGCGAGGACGTTTTGCTGTGAACATTTCTGAAGGCAAATGTTAACTTTCGGATAATACCGTTTGCTAGTCTTTCTAGCGTTTCCGGAAGGCTAATAGCCTTTCAGTTTACTTACTGGTGTTCTGCGAGTGGAAATAGCATTAAAAATGTCGTCTCCAAGTCCGGGTAAAAGGCGAATGGATACCGATGTGGTGAAACTGTATCCTTTCTGACATAAACAAGTCTCTGTTAATCGCATTATAGTTGAATATGTGCTGCTGTGTATGTGTGCTTGAGTGTGTGTACATGGTATGAGCAAATCCTATTTATTGAAGCTGCCCGTTTGTGTTGCTAACCTTCAGACATAGAGCTTTCATTGTGAATGACTGGTGTTTTTGTGTAAACAACATTTTGCTAGCAGAGCCAAGTGTTAGCTATTCCTATTTCAGCGAACCTTCTTTCGCTTATTTGGACACCTCTATTTACATCAAACACCCTCGATCTGTATTTTTACCATTTAAAACCAAATTGACGTTAGCCTACTTGGTCATGATCTATTTTTGAAAATTACTGCAACATCCGAACAAACCCCAACGCTGTCCTCGTTTTACACTGTCTTCCAACGCCAGCGACACTGTCAACGGCTGACCATTTCAAGAAATCAATTGTCAGTGTAGTTTCTCTCTATTCAGCCTGTTGTTTTTTCCAGGGCACTGTGGTCAAAACAATCTCTTTACACGTTGCTACTGGAGCTTGTTTACATAACGTAAGGCTAACGTCACCTGAAAATGCTGCTGTCTTTTGTTCTGCTCTGCTATAAAAAATGTTGGCGTTGTTTGATCGTACATAAAAACTTGTTCCAATTAGCTTTGGTTCGTAGCTTTACCGGGGAGTTGTTTGTGGCTGTGTTTCATTTGGTCTGCTTCTTAAAATGTTACCTTGTAACGCTGCTGAGCTGGCTGCTCTGCTGCTTAATTTCAACATCAAAATGGCCACCTGATCTGTGTGTCTGTCTCACTGTACTTTAATATCTGCAGGAGAAAAACACATGTACGACCAACTTTAACCTTTTTACACAGCTTATAGTGTCTTGTTTTTCTGATGTTGGACAAGGCCATGAGTGTGGCTGCTGTATGTGAAACAGTTACAGCAGATGTCATGGTGGATCCTGCAGTTCTTTTACACTGTGATTTGCTTGAACTTTTAGCCAACGGTGTTGTTTAAGCTTTTGTTGCCACAGCATTAACTCTTTAACAGTTAATTTGTTTTTTAACCTGACAGGCAGACTCTAAAAATAGCCTGTATCACCATATTTCTGCTCCATGCTGTGTGCTCTCAGGGAACAGTATGAACAGGTAGTTTTGTTTTTGTCCCAGCGCAGCAGAAGCCAGCTTAATGATTGGGTGGCCTGTTACTAACCGGAAACCACAAGAGGGGTGGGACTTAAAAACAGCTGATGGGGTGGCTGTAAGGCTTTCAGTCAAATATGGGTCTTTAACTCAGTTGGTCAAAATAGCCAAGTTGAAGAAGAATCTGACAGATGATCCTTGTGATTGTGAAGTTTGATGGTCTTGGCAGCTTTATTTACTAAATTTAACAGTCACTCCTCTGAGACTTGTCATTTCTTCCTTATGCAACACTGATGGTGTATTTCATTCGACATCCTGCCTCATACCAGCACACTACAGTTAGATATATGCATGTTGCAGCAATATGTGAATACATATGACGAGTTGGTGGTTGGAGTTCTTTTATAGACGGTTTTCTTCCCTTGTTATTTGGGCCTGTGGCCGAAGGCAGTTAGTTAACTTCTGCTAGCCAACAACAGTGCCTGTTTGAGCAAGTTTCTGCTCCCCTCCCCCACTCATTTCTGCTTATATGTAAAGCTATGAGCCACGAGTGTTAAGGCAGACAGAGGAAATGCCCCTAAGCATTTCACTCTGCTCAGTCCTTCGAAAAGCCCTGTTGTACTTGTCCTCTCCACATCCCCCACTCATCTTGAGCAACTTGACTGACAGGTGGGAGCAGGTTTGCTGAATGCCACCTGCTCTGTTTCATACTATGGTTTGTGTATTTGCTTTAGGATCCAGAGAGCCAGCATTGATCAAACAGTGTTGTTAAGAGTCGGGTGGTAGTCTGTAAAAGCATGTATCCATAATTGTGATTAACTAGCTTATCAGGTACATTGGTTTACTGCTGACTTGGCTGACACGTCAGGCTGAAGCACGGATATGGGCAACAGTTCCTTCCTTCTGTTTGTGTCCCAGGAGCAAATCTCGCAGTAACAACCCCATCTCTGTGCTCCATATGCTTGTGTCTCCCTCTGGTGTAACCAAACCCTGAAACCCACACTGCCTTTCAAACAGGCCCGGTTCTTTCTTATGTGCTGACACCGTGAGACCTCACGCATTAATTTGCAGTGGTCACCAGAGAGCTGAGGATCTGGAACAAGTAGACGATATGGGAATTCAGCAAAATGAATTTCAGAATGACCTCAACGTGTTCTTCCACTGGGTTTTCAGCTTTGTTTTAGGACAGTGTTGAATGACAGTGTGTTTTTACCAAGGTACCTACAGGCTTTCTGTTTGCATTACCATGTTTTAATAATCTGGCAGGGGAATTGTTATAAAGATTGCTTTACATCAATTCCTTTAATCTTTTTCCCTTTTCTGGATTTTTACTGCTGTTAATGGCCAGAGACCACATGTTTTTCTCCCAATATTTGCCAGGCTGTAATCTCAAATTAGAGCTATTCTCTTGTGACCTGCAGACTTTGTGACCAGTGGTTATTAATTCTTGCCCTTGGACATGTCACTTTCATTGTAGAACATGGTGCTCTTGAAAAACAGTCTTACTAAGGGCCTAAGTGGGAAGAGCTTTACATTCATCCTATTGTGTGGGGTTGACTGCACTTTCTGTGTAGGCAGCTGTGCTGTTATTTGCATGTTATTCATCGTTGGCCTACTCGCTTTACAAATGTTTTGAAGCTATGAGCTGCTGGAATCTGAGCACAGGTAGATTACAAAAGGTTGAGCCTGTTGTGAACGCTAGTACAAGTTCCATTGGGGTCTGGCCTGTGGATGGCAATACACAATATATGCAAACCCTATGTCCAGAATAGATGGTGCTCCACATTATAATGTAAAATCTGTGCTTTGTTAAATTAAAGAAAACCTAACATGTAGGGCAAAATGAGAATGAGAGATAATTAGTTTATGTAGGAATTTCCAGATATTCAAGCTTTAAGGTTTTTTTGTTTTCTCAAAAGTTGTGAGTTACAACACTAATCAGTTGTGTTTTTTTTGAAGAGAGAGCTGCATTTAAGCCTGCATTTCAGTCGAACCTTTAAAGTGACTCCTTGGATCAAAGTCCTGTGAAGCATGGCTACCAGGCTATTGTAAATGAGACTGTGGGGAGCTGTTGGGAGGAGGGATTTCACACTTCCTCAGGCCCATTGTTTATCGTGATATCTGGCATCCACAGCGCTCTATATGATCTTTTAAAAACCACGACTAAATTAAAAGATGGTACAAATTAGGGTTTGTAAATATTGTCCAAAAAACAGATCTCAATATTTGATATGCAATACACATCTACATATTTTTATGCTAGCAAATTACATAGGGATGGAATTTTCAAGAAATGCAGTTGTACATGAAATACATTCAATGTAAATTCACTAAAATAAAATCAAATTATGTTTTTGAAAAAGTGCTTCCCATCAGCTATTGTTTTGGGAATATAACGGTAAAATACTTTTATGGTTAACATATAGTAATGCTGCCTACTGCATAAAGAGACAAAAGTCAAGAGTGCACTTTAAGCAATTTTATTTTAGCAAATATAACAGAACAGTCTAAAACAGAGGCACTGATGCTCGACTCTGCCTATCATCTCCCTCTGTCTCACACACTCCACACTCCTGGGGCGAATGAGGAGTTGTTTTTTTAACTCTTTTTTAAAAAAAGGCTAATATTCTGAATATCCATAAAAACAATATAGTCTTACTTTAGATCTTGTAATAGGACATGTAATGTAAAAGTGGACATATAGCCCAGCTACCAGTACAAATCTGTATAATTTTAGAATTTGTTCAATTGTCCACATTTAGGGCTACTTTCTCGGTGCCAGGCTGTTCACTTTAAACATCCACCATACTTTCCTCACCACTTTTTATTTCCACCCTCCCTGAGAGGAATTCCAATCCTGAGCTCTCTCCCCTTTTCATCTTTGGTCTATCAGTCCCATTGTACCCCTGTAACATGACATGGGGACAGCGGCAGAGCCTTTTGTACCCCCCCGCCCCTCCAACCCTGTTTACAGGAGCCCCATTAAACCTCCACCTCCTGCTGCTATGTCAGACCATGTCATACAGTCCCAGGCTGCTAATGTGCACCAGGCGCCATGAACGTGAACCGATTCAACCAGCGACACACAGTTAGCTGTAGAGGAGGAGGTCGACCTGCGTTACTATTGTCAGGCTGAGAGATTAATGCTGACAAAGGCTGCACCAGAAACAGATGAGAGAGCCTCAGTAACTAACATCATTTGTTGTAATAGTGTAATAAATATGCCATTTTACATTGTATTGCACACTTGACTGTTAAAAGTAATGCAGATGTCATTGAAACTATAACTTCAGAGTCTGATAAACGTCTGTTGATGGGAGTTTATCTCTGCCATGTTCTCTAGGTTAATATTTAATCCACAGTGAGAAGTTCAAACACTGACTAAGACATTTTGCCCAGTGTCCCACATACTGTAGGAACTCGACCAGTAATGCTAGTGAATTACACAGACTAAACCAAGATATCCATGCCGTCTTCATGTCTTGGGAAAACTGAAAACATAATGCTTAAATTTGAATGTTTTTTTTCTTTTGTGTACAGTCAAATACAGTGCACGCTTTAAGATTTATATGTTGTGGTTGTTGGACTGTGTGCGCTTGTGGAGAGTCACGAAAAGAATGTAATTTAAGGGAAAGATGTTTTTCTTCTGTAGCCACGTTATTTGATACAAAAAAAGCTTTAGTTGTCACTGATTCATGGTGATGTTTTGAGCGACTTCATGTCTCACCAATGTAACACCAAGCCCTCGTTGACTTACCCCTTTTGTCGCAACTCTGTCTTTTACTGGGTCTGAAGGTCTTGAAGTTTTTTTGTGAATGCTAAGTGTTAGCATGTATGCTTAAATTTTTGTATTTCCTTGTCTAAAGCAAAT